TATGTCTTGTGTTTCTTGTACTTGTACTTTTATGAGGTTAGTTAGTTTCTGTGTTTTGTTTGTAAAAGATCCGCTCAACTTTAGTTGCTAGTATGTTTTTCTGAGTGAGCTCTGTTTCTATTTCTTCGTTTGTGATGCTTGTGTGTATATCTTTTATCACGAAAGACTTGTGGTTTATTTTGTTTCCCGGTATGTGTATCGTTATGTTTCCGGGTTCAAATGCGTCTTGGGGCCATGTCTTCAGTAGTTGGCTGAGGTCAGCGGCCTCTGACCCTTTGACCAGGACGCCGCCCTTGGCTAGTCGTTTGATTGTTGTGATGTGAACTTTCGGCTTACATCGTTTGATTTCAGCCCCAAGTTGTGGTTCCCTGTAGTGTACTGGAATGCCTTGGATTATGATAGCGTTTTGTGGTGTGTTTTTGTGTGTTACATTTGTAGGAATAGTTGTGTTTTGTGCTGTTTGTTGTCTTGTTTTCTTTGATTGTACTAGTTTGAAATTGTTTTGACCTTCTGGTGTTTCTTGGAGATTATCTTTGTGTACTTCTTTTTGTGTCCCTTGTTGGTCGTGTGAGTTTCCATGTACTTCTTTGAGTTTAGTTTGTGTAGGTGGGTTGTTGTATACTTCTTCATGTTTATTTTGTGTAGGTGTGTTGTTGTATTCTTCTTTGTGTTCTAGTGTTGATTTTTCTGAGTGTTCTTCTTGTGGTTCTGTAGTTACGTTAATTTTGTTACGTCTCCGTTTGTTAATTGATTTTCCGTAACTTCGTACCGACGAAACTTAAGCGACACAAGTCTTTACTTAATAAAACTGGTTTATTCTTTCCGAATATAACTCGCGCTAAAACAAACACTATAACGAACGAACGTTAACTTCAACAATACCCTGTGACTGCAATTCAATTACTCACTATCTGCACACACATTACATTAATGCCGTCACGTCTTGACCGTCTTATACATAAAAGAATACCGAAGTCTAGTAACCTCCCGAGGATTCACGAAGCTTCGAGAATATGACGTGTTACTAGCGTCACGTGACCTCGATGACGCAACAATACTTTAACAGGAGGACTTCTCGAGTTAAGAAGACATTGAGTCACCTACGGCAGATATTTTACTGGATAGGTATGAGACAAGATGTGGAAGAATGGTGCAGGACCTGCAGTACATATTGTGCTAAAAGTGGACCCAAGCATAATGGACGTGCTCCAATGAAGTTATATCAAGTTGACACACCAATAGAGTAGCCATTGACATTGCTGGTCCTTTGTCCCAAAGTCGTGCTGGGAACAGGTGCATGTGTGTGTGGTGATGGATTATTTCACCAAGTGGCCGGAGGCTTATGCAATACCAAATCAGAAAGCTACAACTGTACCTTTGGCTATTAGTGATTTCTTTTTCAGGATGCCATACGAATTGCATTCTGATCAAGGCGTAACTTTGAATCAGCTGTGTTTCATGAATACTGCAAGTTGTTTGGCATACGAAAGACCAGGACAATGCCACTTAACTCTGATGGGATGGTAGAGAAGTACAATTGGACACTTGGACAGGAATTGGCAAAGTTTTGTAATAGCCGCCAAGATGACTGGGATGTCTTATTCCCTCATCTGTTGATGGCCTATAAAACAGCAGAGCATGAAGCCACTTGATACAGTTCAGCAAAGCTGATGTTTTGTCGGGAATTTCAGTTGCCAGTGGATCTGATATCAGGACGCCCACCTTACGAAGAGTTGCCTGAAAATGTGTCAGAGTTCGTGAAAGTGTTATCTGAAAGGATGGATGATATTCATCATCAAGTGCATTCAAACTTAAAAATGTCTGCTGATTCCATCAAGCTATATTATGATAAGAGATCTACTGAAGTCAGCTTTGTACCAGGAGACAAGGTGTGGTTGTATAATCCCAGGAAGACCAAAGGGAATTATCCTAAGTTGTTTTATCCATGGGAAGGCCCATATGACATAGTGGATCGTCTCTCAGACGTGACTTTCTGAATAAAATGTGGTCGGCGAGGTAAGCCAAAGGTGGCGCATGCCAACAGGCTTTGGCATTATCACGGTCCAAGACATTTCAGTTGGAACGAAATGAACAATGGAACAAATTATGCTGCTGAAGACGTGTCACCTGAAAAAGCCACTGTCAAAGAAGAAACTCTACCCAGTTTTGAGAAGGGAAACAGTGAAGCCCTTAATGAAGTTACTACCACTTATGTGACTGCTACCGATAATGTGACATTTCCAGATGAAGAAGATGAACCCCACGTGAAGCAAAAGCCTATGAGGCGAAGACCAGTATGGAAGAAGATATGTCCTGTAAAATTAAGAGACTTTGTTGAATTTTAACTTTGTGTTTGTAAATTCTGTACATTTAATTAAGTTATTGTTAATTATCTATTGGTTTAATATAAGTGGCTATTGTTCGGGACGAACAATACTAAAGTAGGGGCAATGTTACGACAGCGGAAGTCACGTGACGCTGGAAGTATGTGCCTTGGAGTTTCTGGAATTATCGGGGAACACCGCGAATGTCCCAGTGTTTGCTAGACGCCCTTTTTTTTTTAGTATATAAGCCTGGCAAAGAAAGCCAGCGAGATAGGCAGATAGATTGAAGAGATAGATAAATGAGTCAAGCGAACAGTAGGCATCGTTAGTAAAGTGTGTGAATCACTGTGATTTATAGCGTGTGTTATAAAAGTAGTTGAGTTTAAGGTACTAATTGGAAATTCTGTGTATTACAAAGTTATATCGAGGAAGAATAAACTAGTTTTAATTAAGAAAGGACTTGTTTCGCCGAAGTTCCTCGGAAAGAATTTATACCGGAATTTAACAAACTAACAGATACGTAACAATATACTTGCATCAAAACATTGAACCTAATAGAAAAATGATCGCTTGTACCCAGATGTTCCCGAATTCCTACCGTCTCAACCATTTTTATATTAGAAATTAACAATAAATCTAAAATAACATTGTTTCTATTAAAAGTAGGGTCATTGACACATTGGTCAAAAATCATCTTGAAAAATTTCCAAAAATATGTCTCCCTCATGGTTTGACTATAGCATTTTCCAGTCTCTATGATTAAAATTAAAATATCTCATAATTATGACCACTTTAACAGCTGAAAGCGTAATCTCACTGTAAAGTTTATTATTAATTTCATCAGTATCATCTGGTGGTATGGAACAAATTACCACTAAAATCCTTTTCCCATATATCATAAGTGCTAATGAAATCATTTCGAAATACCTCTCTTTTTGAACTTTTTTAATCAAAAAGACAAAAGGACTCTACACTCTTCGATCGGCCCGGCATGGCCAGGTGGTTAGGACGCTCGACTCGCAATCTGCGGTTCGCTGGTTCGCATACCCATCCCACCAAACATGCTCGCCCTTTCAGCCATGGGGGGTTATAATGTGACGGTCAATCCCACTATTCGTTGGTAAAAGAGTAGCCCAAAAGTTGGCGGTGGGTGGTGATGACTAGCTGCCTTCCCTCTAGTCTTACACTGCTAAATTAGGGACGGCTAGCGCAGATAACCCTCGTGTAGCTTTGCGCGAACTTCAAAACAAACAAATAAATAAAAAACTTTTCGATCAGTCAACAGAAATCTTAAAGTCTGTATTGCTTCTGCACTTTATCTCCGAATGATATTCGGACCAAAACTTGCATTGTTTAATGGCTATTGTAATAACAAAATATATATTTTCAATGATAAATTGACGAACAAATAAAAACAAGAATTGATTCGACTTGAGAAATTAGTTATTATCATTGAAACAACAACAAAATAAATAATCATGCAAAATTTAATATTCGTTGATCAAATTCAGAGGTCGTCTCTGTAGCAAGTATTCTTAATCCGGGTACTTTGCATGTTTTTATAGCAAATCTTTTCGAAGGCTACCGGGGTTAGTGCTGTTAGAAGGTAAACGTGTCAAGTTATTTTGATATTAAGTACTCCTTATTTGTGTTTCGCAATATTTAAAAGAGATCCAGGTAACGCATATCTAAATAACTGTATCGTACAAAATATTTCTATGATTAATATTTATTGAAACTTGGTTCAAGTTAATTATTAATGAAATATAATGTAATTGTGATGTTACCGTAATTGTTTCAAGTTATAACTTCTCGTTGTTTCTGAAAGTGAAACTGCGTTAGTGTTACTGGATCAGTAAATGTTACTTTCGCTGTTGTATTAACACTGTTAGGCCTAAGTGTTGATGGTAATACTGCTGTCTTGGGTTATTGTAATGTTACGTTTCCGTTCGTTCGTTAATTAATTTTCCGTAAATTCGTTCCAACGAAACTTTAGCGACACAAGTCCTTTCTTAAATAAAACTGGTTTATTCTTTCTGAATATAACTTTGCGATACACAACAGTCGCGCTATAACAAACGTCTCACGTGCTCGACTTCAACAATACTCAGTTCAATTACTCATTGTTCCGTCCCCCGTCTTATATATACCAGACTACCCCAATCTAGTAGTCTCCCGACAATTCACAAAGGTTCCAGAAGGTCGTGGCGTGATACTAATCACGTGATCTCGCTGATGCAACAGTAATTTAATTTTTTTACTAATCCAATTTCAAAATGAAGTAAATTTATT